AAAATGATTTTTCATTTCATATGAGATTTTATGAAACGAGTCTTAGAATTGTTATGCTTGCGAGCCTTGGCGAGCAACAATTAACTTTGAGACGAGTTACATAAAAGCTCATACATAATGAAAACGTATTTTAGATACTTTTTATCACATAACTCCGAAAACTTACATTTTGACAAGTTTTAAAGCCAAAATGTAAAGGGCTTAATCAAACGGAGACAGCCATTTTGTTGCGCCATTCACAATTTATGACGTCACGTCATTTTCCATATTATGACGTCACAATCGATTTCTGACTGGCACAGCCAACGAAAACGCTCCAGGTTATATAACACTAGTGACATATGTAAAATATATAACACGGGCGAATTCACTGGATAACAGGCCGATTATGTGATAAATAATATTACGGAGATATTTATTAAGTCATTTAAGTTATTAAAACAGATAAAGTGTGAAAAAATAGATTATACATGCACTGTTGCACCCATAACAGTCAGACATAAATATTAGCATCGACTAATAAAAAGACCAGGATATAATTATATAATATAACATTTTAGTTAATCTTTGACCGATAGAAATTTGTTGTTACTTGTGCTGACTCTTCAAACATTGAACATGTTTTATGATAAAAACAATTACCCCGAATCGTCTATATAAATATTGTTCACAATCCCATTAACAATAATTGATATTTAACGATAATTTATCTGGACTTATTTAACGGTTTCCGTTGATACTATATTGGGAATAACAACTGTGTTGTTTGGAAAAGTTTCTATAACTCACCTTGTAGTTTAAAAATTCTGACATCACTGGACGTTTGACAGCTTGGCCATGCCTCAATGTCTTCAATAAACACCTTACACTCGCCGGTTTGATTGTTGAAAGAAAACGCTTCCCTGTTGTTAAGACAGCATAGTACTGCACAGTATAAAAGCGACGTTGCCGTCACGTCTGACGTCACTGTCAATGCCGACAAACATGCCACAGACCGATAATGGCGTCCATTAGCAGACGTCAAATATACAAAACAGCACAAGTATAGCACGATGTCGTATATTCCCATGTTTCATGAAAATATTACATCAACTTGCAAGTCAGAAATATGATAAAAGTGTTGTAATCTGTCCAGATTAAAACGCACGCTTTTCCTACAGGATGCATACGAATGTACATATATTTATTTTGATACCTATCCTACAAACAGTCCTTATTTCTCTTTTGAACAAATGTAAAATAATACAACGCAAGATGATCTTTAATGAGAAGCAAACGTCGCTTTTATGTAAATTGAAATGTATGTGTCGCCACCTACCGTGGAAAGCAATACTATTTATCGATCAGAATTTCAGTTACGATAAACATCTGAAACTGCTTCTAATGAAACGTCAATTTCAATTGTACTTCAACCATTGTCAATCAGTGATACCTGTTTACTTGATGTTTTATCAAAAGTACATTTATTTGATTTGAAGTGCATGAATCTGAGACTGCTTCTAATGGAACGTCGATGTCAATTGTACTTCAACCATTTGTTCCCTAGTTTATCAGTGATACATGTTTACTTTATTTTCAATAAAAAAAGGAAATAAAAAGTACATTTATTTACATCTGTAGTGTATGAAACTACATTTCCTGTCTAACTATATTATACCCGTGTGCATTAAAACATGAATAAATGTTCATCAAACCGGTTGTCTGTGTTCATCAACACGGTTGTCTGTGTTCATCAAAACGGTTGTCCTTGTTCCTCCAAACGGTTGGCTGTGTTCATCAAAACGGTTGTATCTGTTCATCCAATACCGTCAATATGTTTCTCGAATCAGATATATCTGCATTCATCTTTAAAAAATCCGAGTTCATTTCAATTATCTTGACAGATACCATCAAAACGCTCGGTGTTCATCAAAACGCTTGTCTGTGGTCATCAAAACGCTTGTCTGTGGTCATCAAAACGCTTGTGTGTGGTCATCAAAACGCTTGTCTATGTTCATCAAATACCGTCAATATGTTTTTCGAATCAAATATATGTGTTCATCAGAATATATATCTATATTCATCTTAAAAAATGCCCGATTTCATTTAAACATATATCTGCTTTCGTTAGAATATGTCTATGTGTTCATTAAAATTTAGGTCTTGATTCATCGGTATATATTAACTTGTGTCCACCAATACATACTTGTATAAAAGTGTTTTTCAAGACATGCATGCATTCATTCAAATATTTATCACCATTCATTAAAATAAATATCATTATTCATTAAAATAAATATTATTATTCATTAAAATAAATATCATTATTCATTAAAATAAATATCATTATTCATTAATATATTGATCATTATATCAGACAATGGAGTGATTGGATTGATTTAACTCTGAGTTATGAAAAAGCTACCGCTCAAGCCTTTTGAACAATGTTAGCTACAGTATTTAGATGACCCTGACTCATTTTGAGCCTAGCATAATGAATTTGATCACATTTACCTACACGAAGAAATATGGCGGCATTTTGTGTAAAGCTTGTTGATCTGTTTTCGAACAGAAGGGTTTATAGTGGGTAGAGTGAAAATGTTCATCGACGTTTCTACTTGGAAGGATATCATGTAGATAAGGGTGAACTAGTCAAAAAACATTTTTATAAAACTCACCATTTTTTTTTTAACTTGGCGTCTTTGGAAAAAAGCTTCGCAATATATCATAATTTAGATCGTAAGTCTGGTCTATTCCGTTAAAAAAACTTGCGGCTTCTGGGTAAGGACTTGCTAAATATTGTTCTTGTCTGTCTGAAACTTTTTCTTAACAATATCGGCATTTCCCAAGATTGGATCACTAAGGAAAATACTCGTATAAATGTATGTTTATTTTCCTTTGGTATAAATATCGCATATCGATCTGAAGCAAACATCTATGACAACTTATAATCGGAGGCAGAATGGAATTATGATTCAATAACCTGTCTGCATGTCAATTACATTGTAGTGCAACTTATATATAGATTTTATTACAGTTTTTTATTTATTTATTTTTATTTTATTTCCTTTTGTATATTTTCAAAGTGTCTAGATCATGTGATCCATTTCTGTTGTCATATCATGAAACAAAACGGATTGGTTGATTGAAATTAAAGTCTCCTGTTCTAAGGCCGTGATATTGATTTAGTAGAAACTTGTAAACATGCTTGTCCACACACTGTACAACAGTCTTACCGACGAAAGATACCATAATAAAGGAACTGGTCTTTATTGAAAGGGGACAATTTCATACCTTTTTATAAACAAGCATAATATTTGACTTGATTCTTGATTTGACGTAAGGTCGATGGGTAACTAATGATACATGTGATGGTTTTTTTCAAAAGCCAGGTATGCAATTCGCTAGTAATGACAGACGTGAAACTGTCTAACGAGAAATTAACGACCCTTACTTCGTCAGGGGAAATGGTAATGTTAGCTAAACCCTCAACTTTAGGGTCGCCAACAGTAGTCTGGTGCCAAAAGCAATCGTTAAACATGTTAGCTTAAGCAAAGTCATCATAAAATTGGAATGTAAGAAAGAGGAGGAAAGAACTGCATATTTCCAAAATGCCACTGAAAGAGTAGCCTCGTATGTATTTTGTTTCAATTAGTATTTTACAAGCAAAGTTGTAGTCATCTCACCATATATGGTCATATCAAGTAAACCGTAATAGTGCGCTCATACTATCAAATAGTAGCAATCTGCGAATTAAATGAGTGTATGAAGGTCGGTAAAGTTACAGTACTAATACCGGTTAGATTGCAGGAGCATTGCAAAGAAGTTTCACAAGAGCATGTGGACAGTACATGTGTTAGCTGTCGAGGTGAGATATGTCCTGCATTGATCACGGTTAGATCGATTGCGACAACAATTAAAAAATAAATTATTAAAGAGCATTAAAAAGCATTAAAATGCAATTAATCATGTAGCGAGGTGCACCACTGAAAAAAATGACTCATTAATTTCAACCTTGACTGATTAAATATCAATACATACATAAAAATTACTAACTTCGAGCTACAACAGGTGAAGGTCTAAAGGGAATCAGAAAATAGCTGAAAATAAGGATGTTTCCGACTAATGCCGAGCATATGATTTTGAAAAAAGCTGGCATTATTGTCGATTTTCAATATATGATAGTGTAAGTAAGTGTTTTACAAAATGATACTTTTTTGCGGAACCTGGTAAATCATGTTGATAGCTTCATTGATTAAGTGTTGATACGATCAGTATAGAGACTGATCTCTCGGGATAAATGATAAAGCGAACGAGAACTAAATATGAACAATTTAAGAGTGCAATTACTTTCGTCTGAAAATTCCACCATCTGCCGTTATTATTACCATTTTGTGACGTCACAATAGATGATAAAGCATTTGTTTGTGTCAGGATAACACATATGTATATACCAGTTTTATCACATACTTTACCAATAGTGGATTATGAAAAGTTATTTTTACACAACCAATAAGATTTTTCATGTGACGTTTCGATGACTAGTACGATATGCACACTGTCACCTTCATCAGACAAATGACCAGTGGAGCGTATGCACTCAAAGGTGTAAAATTTGGACGAGCTGTCCACATACTTTGCCAATAGTGGTAAAGTCGATTTCCAGGCTATGCATTACAAGATCCTCTGTTTCACAGTGTTATAATACAAGGTGGTATTTGCCCCTGTAGCCAGATCATTTATGATGAATGCGATAAAGCTGGCGTTTCAACGATTAGTTTTCGTCCCAGACAGCTGTTGACGACCGAAACAGTCAACTAATTAGTGTGTTTTTTAGTTAATGAAAAAAACACCTATCCAATTTTGCTAAAAACTACAATTATCATTACCCCTACCGATATAAGGGATACCAGTTGTACATTAGACAGTGCCAAAGCCGCCTGTCTTGGACAAGTAAATGCAAAGCTTTCGAAAGAGACAGAATATTTCATTAATGACGTTTTGACAACGTTTTCCAAAAAATGCATCAAGGTAAATATTACGCTTGCTTATAAAAGGGTAAGATATTGCCCGCGTCAATACTGGCCAATTCCATCATAAACATTTGATCATAAGCTTGTTTTACTCCCCTTTATCACCAAATCAGTCTAGATTTGGAACCGGAGATCCACCTTTTAATCGACCCATTCGCTTTATTTTTTATGACTACAGAAATGGATCGCATGTATTTGACACTTTGTATTATCTTCTCTTTGGTAAGCGTATTGAGCAGTGTGTTTACATGTACACGCACGTTTACCAATTTCTTCCAGCTGACTTCTTCTTTTCACCTAATCAAACTGGCTTTATAACTCACGCCACTTAATACACCTGGTCCGATTTAAGCACAATATGACAACAGAAAAGGATCACATGTAATTTACGCTTAGATGATCATATGATACGTAGTTGCACTATTTGAAATAGGGACAAATGATGTCACTCTTGTACCAACTGACCTTTGGTTAGAAATAGTCGTAACTAATCATGTACCGGAATTCGTATGTTTTCAGTTTATTGTTTTTCTAACGTCACTGTTGATATTTTCATCAAACGAAGCATACATCAGATTGGGAAAACATGAGGTTTGTGATTGTATAATTCAAGGAAACATCAACACATGCACACATAAACAAAGACGAGTTTTCAAATATCCAGGTAAGCAATAATGGATCTTAGTGCATGTTAGCATGTTTATGTTCGGACAGTAACGCGTTAAGTAAACTTTAACATTTTGGTAAACGTAGCTAAACTATTAAACACAGGAACTCATTAACACTGAAAGATTATATTTTCTTTTAATAGGCAGTTAGATGTATACATTCGCACTCTTAGGCGCAACAGACAAACGTTAAGACAAGCGTAAAACATTACCTGTAACTGAGTGAGATCGGGTTATCTCAGTCGAGGGTTAAGATTCTGTAACGTAATTCAAATCGAGGAATGTTGCAGAATCTTAGCCAGAGACTGAGACAATCTGATCTTGCTCTGTTACAGGTAATTTATTTTCTTTCTCGCACCTTTTAGTTCGAAAAAACCTTTTTAATTTTGCTAAAAACTGCAAGTATCCCGTATTGGGCCTCAAGCGATAATCACCTCTTCACTGCTTTAGCTATATTTGAATGCTTCCGCATACACATGTAGTCCGTCCTTACATAAATGACAACGTATTTCACAGTGTTGATTATATTTTATCTACAACATCAAATATCTAACAACATAAAAACTATGCTTATAACGACAAAGCAGAACATTTATAAAGCAGATTGTCAATTTCAAGCAGTTAACGCACGGATGAATACATCGCAGTGTAAAAATTCCGCGAAATTTTATGTAAAGGTACCAGACAGATCGGACGTGATAGAAACATCTATCATGGGGTATGTCGTGGGATATCTTTGTCTGAGCTGCGAGAAAAAGAGTAGACTAGAACATTCAATGAACCAATACTCTGAAAAACAGAGATGAGCATAACTTTTAATTTGCTGATGAACGATGGCAAGTCAAACAATTTGTTTAACAGTTAAAAACATGTTCATGAACATTTTAATGTATTTCATTGAGGACAGCTATATGTTTCAACGAACTCGGACTTTGATGTTTATCGATATAAAATTTTGACAAACACAGATACATAAAATTAAAATCAATGCAACACAGATATGCTTTGATGACCATTAACCTATGTTTTGATAAACACCGTTGTATGGGCGGATCGTTCGAGAGGTTAACACGCCGGCTTTCCAAACAGGTGGCCGGGGTTCGATCCCCGAAGTCATCGTACGCATGGAATATTCAGAGAAAGTGGGTTTTTCTCCTGCCAACACAACTTCAATAACCCAAGTGGAGTATAAACTGGTCTAGGTGGATGTTACGGTATCTGTGTAGCATACAGGTGAGGTGGTAGTATAAATGATACCGTTGGAAACACGGCCCCACTACAACCAGAACACGATACATGTCCAGCACACACGCAGGCATACACACATAGGGAGATATTAACCAGGGGGCATATGACTAGTAGTTAGCGCCTGATAAGGCAGCTCCTGCGAATTTCACAATATTGGTTTGATTAATGTATATGCTAATTGTATTGATTGTATAAAAGTGTATATCTATGTACTGTAAAGTGCTTTATAATGGCTTATGTTAGCTAGATATGGCGCTGTATCAAACGTTGTATATTTAATATATTTATGTTTTTAGGATAATCACATTTAAGCGTTTTTGATGAACACTAACAAAACTATTGATGAAGACATACACAAGAAGTTTGATAAACATGCTCTGATGAAAACAAACACGAATTTTGATTTAAACAAGAACGAAATTTCCACAAAGACAGACAGATGTTTTCATGGACACCGATTGGACACTCATACACAGGAATTTATGTATTTCATATATTCATAAATGTGCAAATTATTACTTCAGCCATATGTGGTTTTCTGCTTTAAAACCGACCGAACAGAATGCGGTAATTGAAACTGGGTTGAGTGGTTAAAGTACAAATGAAATCGACCTTATATTAGAAGTTGTCGTAGATTGGATGCTGCTATCTCGGAACTTTCAATCGATAGTGTTGGCTTCAAGCTAGCTCTGGACTCATAATTCTATAGACCTCTTCTGATAGAAGGTCGATTTGCCCGAAATAGTTTTCAATTAGTTCATAAGACAGACAAGGACAAGGTAAAATTATATGTGCAATGCTCGTTAAAATGGGAATATATGAAAGCTTGATGTATTTGTGCTGTTGTGTGTATTTAACGTCTTCAAAACATAATGGACGACACTATCGTTCCGTTACGTGTTTGTCGGATTTAACTGTCACGTCAGACTTAACACCTACGACGCTTTCAGACTGTGCCTCACTCTGCGATATTAACAATAGGGAAGCTTTCTCTTTCAACACTCAAACTAGCGAGTGTAGGATTTTCATTGAAGGCATTGATGCTTGGTCAACCTGTCGAACGCCAAGTGATGTCAAGTATTTCAAACTACACGGTAGGTTGTCGAAACATTACTTTACAACACACTTTTGCGAGAAATATCGTTTAACAAAAACCAAACTAGTAATCCTGATATTCATGTACCTGTTGCCGTGAATGGTATGTTGACAATGATTAAGTAGCCGCTTTGAATTTATTATGATTATTATAAAAGGAAAAACAACGTTTAAGGATCAGAAATGGTAACTGTTGAACAACAAAAGAATAGCTAAAAAGATACATTGTTAATAACTTGACTATGACTTTTTTTTTATATTAAGTTGAGTTGATAAATTTAAATGTTATTCTGTGTTAATTTGATGTTCAATAGAGTAGATTAATGGGATTGCAAGTTGTATTGTATATGATTTCAAAGGTTAAAAATACATTTTTAGAAGGACATCTGACTTATTAAGAAAAGCTGTACAACAAGGATTGAGCCAGCTGTGTAAAATATGCATTTATATTCTTTTGTTTTTAAATCGGCAAATACCGGCAGTTGAGTTACACGAACGACGAGCTAATTTCAGATTTATTCAAAAAGCAAATGCCAGCCCAGTTCTTAACAATATTTTATAAAATCTTAGATGTTAATAAGATATATTTTGTATTGAGGAAATATGTTTATGGGATTTATATTTTATATCAACCGTCTTCTTTTGAGTCTGGCTAATGCGGAGTCGTTAGACCTCGATCAAAAATAAAATGTATAAATTTTATGCCACACATATCTCATAATAAATATGAGATACATCATATGATTTGTATTCCATTTTAGAAAAAGAACTCCAAAATAATATTAGAGGTTTTTTTTTATTTCAAAACGTCTTTAATCGTTGTAAACATGTATGATCTTGGTGAAGTATTTATTGCAGATTAAAAGAGTAAATGTTATCAAATTACATATCGGAGTAAATTGAAATATTTTTGTTCCCCTAACACTCATGTTTTTAACGATGAAATTGTTTAAGCATTGGATGAGATATGACATTCTGAATTCAAACATGATAGTGTACGTAGATTCGGCTTTTCAGGTGGAGAAAAGAGTAATATTATAAATTTGTTCATCTCGTCGCCATGTTGATTAGTGGTTACACTAACGAACACGACTTTTTTGTGTTACTGCATTGATTAGTTTATTATTAATAATTGACATTTCATTACCGTTGTGTACAACGAAGAACCCACAAATAGTTAATTGATTTCAAGTTTACCAGTTTCTTCCAGTGCAATACATTAATCATCAGGTAGTTGAAAACATAGCTCCATATTGTCTTTTTTTTTGCATGCAATTTCTTTCTATGTCCAGGCTCGCAAGCTCACAAAAGAAATGAAGCTCTTTGAAACCCTTGTTTAGCCAATTGAGGTTTGAACTCGTAACTGTGGCTCACAGTTAATCAATAAACAGATTGGTGTTATCAGCCAGGTATGAAATTAAAAGCCTATCGAATGATTTATTCATTCAATCACTTACTATACAGCTATTAGTTTCTAATTCATAATAATTAATGCTCTTGCAGGTGATTGCCAATCGGTGCCCGTTCCCTTAGGCTACAACATAGAATATCCGTACTACGGTAGCAGTGCCCGGGCTAGATTCAGATGTACGACCATTACCGACCAACCACCGGTCAACAGCTGTCCAGTCGTCCAGTGCAATGATCTACATAACTTGACAACCAAACCTTCATCTTGTTCGGGTAACTAAACCGGTTTCTGGATAATCAAAGGTGTAAGGCAACTGGCGGTAACTAAATCTGCAAGTGTCAGAATTCGATATACTAATAACATTTGTCTGTTAGCCAATCTCCGATAGTATGATTTTCATGGAATAAGATATTTGTCAGTGGTCAAATTCTGGTTACGAAGTATTTCAATAGTTACATATGCATATAGAGCTTTGACATTTTCTTTTGTTATATGTTCAAGGGAATTATTTTCGTCAATTAGTTTCGGTTGGGTATTTTTTATCATATATATAAATCATGAACTCCAATGATCACTTCCTTCATACAATCATTTTACGAAAGTCGGAGTCAGCTTGCTGAACTTCACAATATACAAAAATACGTTTTTTATTAAAATTATATTTTTTTTCTAAAGTAATTTACTCACTAGCCTGAATTCTCTAAGCAAGACTTGAAATATATCTTTTTGCAAAGTTCAACGACAATTTATCTCTATCAGTTCTCCGGAAGTAGTTTATGAACAGTTCTATTTTTTTATAGGTTCAATTAGTGAGCTTGTATACGTTGTTTTTTATATATGTCATCTCACATGTATGCAGTCGCTACTTTCACTATGGCTGAACACAAAAAAATCTTGTTTGTTTAAATACCTTATCAGTGCATTGTTCCCCGGAAAAGTGTTTCACATTTTGTTTCCCTCCTCTGTGTCATTTTCCGTAGGTCAACACTACCTTGGCCGCGAGAGATAGAATATATGAACTACGGAGTGGTTTGACATGTTTTCTGTCTGGCTCGAATTCAGCAGTATGATATTTGTTGTTTATTTATTTGACGTTACAGTGAAAGATGTGTTCAACAACAGCCTGTCTGAATATGAAGGCGGAGTGACCTGTACAATGAAGGGTGTTGTATGTCAGAGATGGGATAGCGACTACCCCCATAGGCCGAGCTTTTATCGTGGTCGGAGTGATCTTGGAAATAGGTGCCAACTAGAAAGCGAGCATCGCCCCTGGTGCTACACAACTGATCCGGAGATGAGGTGGGACTTCTGTCCAGTGACGGACATGGACTGTGGGACTCCGCCAATTATGCTGAGCCCTTCAACCACGATAGGAGTTAGAACCCATACCGAGTGGCCATATCTAGGCACACAGGCGTTGGCATGGTACCGGTGTGCGTCCTTTGCAACAGCTGTCCCCGTATCCAGTTGTCCCGTGACGCGCTGTGACGGAGACCTCACGTGGTCGAAAGCCAATGTTTCCTGTTCTGGTAAATCTGTGTTTTATTTTAAGCTTGTTCTAACCCAAGACTGGTGTAACTGTCGTACTTTTGTCTACTCTCCGCTTAGCAACGCCTCGAAATTACAACTGAGTAATAAAGAGCACATAGCCTAGCGGAGTGAAAAGGTACTGATGCAGGTACTCCAGTCTATATCTAGCCCGTCATTTGCAAAGTAATAAGGTAAATGATATATTTTTTTATTCTTTTGAACTACTGTATTACTGATACATGTACGACCTACATTTACTAAATGTCATATAGTGCATTTGAATATCTTTCTTTAGATCTCTATATCGACATACTATTTCAACTATATTTCAACAATTAAATTAAGATTTTTGATTTAATTATCTCTACGGTCAAACACCAGAAAAGTAATAACCTAGAAGAAATGCATTTCGTTTAAATTGTCAGCTCCTTTACGCCATTATGTTTTTAAAACATCCTTTTTGCCTTTTCTTTATAATTCCTTAATAGATATACCTTGATATTTGGCAAATCCTTTCTATACATAATATATAACAATATAAGCATAATTTTACAGTAGGTTACATTTATATCTTCAGTGAATGACTGTTATGACGTCACCAGTCAGACCTACCAGGGCCGGGTATCCTGCACAAACACGGGTTACACGTGCCAGCGATGGGACAGTGATACCCCACACGAACATACGACACTCAGTGGACGCAGTGACCTTCAAAATTGGTGTCAAATGTCAGGGGAGTCGAAACCTTGGTGTTATACTACTATTCCCAGCGTACGATGGGAGTTCTGCTCGGTGGAGCAATGTCCTTTTGATCCATGACCTGGACCGAGATTTTACACGGAAAGTGCCATCTTTGTTTGTTGTCAAGAAACATTTGCAGTCAGGAAAACTTGAAATAATTAACATTATCTTCATAAGCATGGTTCGCGCGTTTAATATTTACTGCCCTAGAGTGATCATTAACTGTAACCAAATTTTCGTTTGTACTTTGACAGTTTTTTCTCTCGGATTTTTACCAAAGTATATACTGTTCTAAGAATCAAGCGTTTTAAATAGAAATGCATGATTAGTTGTCTTCTTTGGACGAAAACAAAACGTATTTGTAATAAAAAAAAATGTAATGCGTTTAAGTTTGGTTATTCTTTTTTTTATCCTGATTCCAAAATTTGTTAGTTTCCTTGTTGTTACCTGTAGCCAGAAATTTATTTGTTGAAACTTAATTACCGCAATGTATTTATTTTTTCATTGCAGCCTCTCCGGTTATCAATTATAAAGGAAACCTTCAAACCGATTGTCTAAGCAGTACCTTCGTACTTTCGGACATTAACACATGGTTGCGAGTACATTCATGTACTAGGCATTTATTCGCCGACAACGTAATCAGCGTTTATAATTGATATACATATTCCCGATCTGGAGAACCAATGACAACCATTAATGGATTGGTTACTATCAGAATATACACAAAATCCCATGTAACGTTAATTCTATTTCAAAATACGTTACCACAGTCATTATAATGCATATTCCAACCTTACTTGGCTCTTTACATACGTAAATAAAGAATTTTTCCCCCCATGGGGAACCCCTGGGAAACCCACCAATCAGACGGCAGTATTCACCCACGTGATTTAAGACACGAAGCCATGCTTCCCACTTCATAATTCCTTCAGCCGGCCGTGTTTACGGACGTGTTTTGGTGTCTACGGGTTCCAACTACAACAGGCGTTGTTTGTACCCATACATTTACGTATCCTTTATAACTAGTTGTTAACTTTATTTTGCGCCGTTTTGCGACCAGGCTCCGGCCACGTGTTCGCGTTTTTGACGGTTTGTTTACGTTGAGATGGAGACTCCTCCTTCTCAAAGGCGCTGTCCTGGGGGTCATTTTTTTGAGGCTTCCGACCCCCACCCTTACTGTCCTGGCTGTCGGTCTTGCTCTCTGGAGCAGCCGTGTGAAATTTGCCGTGCCTGGCAGCCGACTCCTACCGGTGGTTCTCCCCGCCCGCGAGGGCGTGCAGGTAAGTCGGGTAGGAGGGG